ATGATGTGGTAATCTAACATATCGTATAACCGTTTTGCCTCTTGGGTAAGTATTTCATAAACATGATCATTTACCATTCCAACATAAACATTCCCTCTATCATAATCAATTGGTTGATTACCACTACTAAAATCTACATTATCATATTGACTACTCGTTCCTGCCTCAACCATATCATAATCTTCACCATGTTCAAACCATACATAATATCCTGTATAAATTCTCTCCAATACAAATGTTTCGAAATTGTCTTTGTTGATTTTAAACTGGAATTTTGACCTTTAACACAAATACAGTAAAACTAATCTCCACTATATAGAGCTACTAGTCGGTTACTTGGTGCGGGTTAAAAACACTTGAGTTCATCTTACTGAAAAACACTCTTTTTGGTGCTCTCTTGATTATAATGTTTGTTGTAGTTCAGAAGCCTAGAGAGCAGATCGCAGATGCGGAGGCGCTTTTGGACTTAGCGGATACCTTGTTTTCATCGGTGAAATCCCAATCTGCTCTGCATGGTGTTTCTCCAGCTGAGTTTGTTAATGCCTTGATAAGGGGTTTTGGGGAAACTTCTTTAGGGATTGATGCTGATGAAAACACGCAAGTGTCGATCAAGTGGAAGGATATTGGGTTTGTTGTCTGTTCTACGGTTATTGTATCATGTGGCTGTTCAACAATGTGAGTTCTGTCTCTACAAATACTTAATGAGCTTGAGCATATTTTGTTAAAATGAAGGGTTTTGTTTGCCTTTTAGGATATGAGCTTGCTTACCTGACTTTTAAAATTATTTCTATTGTGCAACTTTTGCAGGATGGGTTCTATGGATACTGAATTGAAACAAAGGAAAAGAGCAGTGGGCAACAGGAAACGTAGAAAGGCCGGTGAAGGTGTTAAGCCAGAGGAGGTGAGAAGTGTTTTGCAAATTCCAGTAATCTTTAGTTTGTGAGCAAATTTGACTGATTCTACTTGTGTAGTATATATACCAAGCTATGTGTAATGGTCAATCTGTTAACGAAATCAGTGGTTGTTTTAGCATTCTTGAATTTGGATGGCATGTTTGAGGTATTAAAATATGTGGTTTGTTTGCAAATGGTTCATCGATGGAGTATCATGTTGTATTGCATATGGAACTTTGTCAATTGTTACTATTGAATGTAGCTAGAAAGGAAACTGATTTGGATACTTGTCATATCCTCTAGGTTGATGAGACAGAGGCTGAAAAACAAACTGATACAAACAATAACATGGCAATAATGTTTAACATCTTGCGGAAAAACAAGCGTGTTAAGATTGAGAATTTGGTGTTCAACAGGAGATCATTTGCACAGACGGTAGAGAATCTTTTCGCACTCTCCTTCTTGGTGAAAGATGGACGAGTTGAGATACTTGTCGAGAAAAATGCTTCTCATTTTGCCGGTAAGATACACCAATCATATCTTATGTATGTTTCTTGTTTTTGATTTCATCCTCTTACCCCTAAAAACATTGTTTCACTCTCATCTCCATTTCCTAATTTCTCCTCAGTGCCAAAGAATGCTCCTGTAGCAAATCTGGTGATGTCAGGGGAGGTTGTTTACAACCATTTCGTATTTCGATATGATTACAAAGATTGGAAGGTACTGATTAGTGATTCATTTTTTATTCAGTATTTCTCTAAGTGGTGTATTAGTTAGTTAGCTAATGATTTTGGGGGTTTGGTGATTACTGCATAGCCGATGAACACAATGGTTACAGTAAGAGAAGAGTTGATACCACACAGGAAAACCAAAGTCTCACAAGATTCTCAGACAACACGAATGAGAAACCTGTCAAGGAACCAAGGTTTGGTGATACAAAAAGAAACAGTTGTAGAAGATTCTCCTGACATCGAAGGCGATAATGAAGACGGTAAAAATGCTTGAATTAGGCAGGAAACTCACTTGTGAGGATGGTTCGTGAATTTGCCAATTCTTTTTCTTTTTGGGGTACATAGTAGCAGCCAGCGGTTTACATGACCTATGGTTTCAATTTGGTAAGTAAAACAAGTTTTATGAGGTAGACAGATTAGATATCTAATGGATTGTCTCTGGTTAGGATTTGTTGTTTTGGTTGATGATAGGTGGTTTTGGAGAGGCTTTTATTTTTTTTTTCTAACATAGAGAGCATATATTTTTGAGCTATG